TTTTCTCCCTTTGCAAGAGTTTCTATATAAAAACTTTGATGTCTCTTATAAATGCTACAACACTCTCTTTTATCTGATTGTGTATTGAATCTTTATATAAAACTAAGATGTTAAATGTTCTATTTCTCTATCCCTGTGATTATTCAAGACACAACAAGATTGTTGATCCTCCACGAAATTTAGCTTCCAATAGGCAAAATATATCAATCTAATAATTCAAGCAGAATGCCTACTCGAGATGCGACCTTTTCCCTTGTTGGCTCCATATATATATTTTAGGAGACAAATAGTCCGTACAACATTAGGCCCTTTTGGATAAAGAATTGCCTTTTCCGCCCTCTTGCTATTTTTTACCTCAGTAACTCATACCAAGCTTGTCTCTTGCCCCTTTTCAACAGTACATCTACATTAAAAAAATTAACTTCTAAATCATCATACTATACAGTACAAAAACTTTGAGTTAAAATCTTTTTGTCACGTCTCTTTACATCCAGATTGCCCCACTAATACAGATCCAAACTCCTCCTTAGGGCATCTCCAACCGAACTCTAAGTGCTTGAATGGCGTCCCTGGCCAGCTCCAGCGGAACCCCAAATTTTCCATTATTTGGTTGCGGGTGAACAGTGGGGCGCCAATATTGACGTTGCACTGTTCATCTCCGCCATTTTTAACTCTCTTCCAAACTTGCCGCGGGAAAACAGAGGCGACCGTTACCTGCAAAAGTGTGAAAAGTGGAGTTCCATTGAAGATGAATCGCAGCATGTTATAATTTCACTATATTTTGAAATGAAAAATGAGATTTTCGATTGGAGATGCTCTTACCTCATCTTTCGCTCTTATTGCAGGCTTGTGGATGATCGATAATTGTAAGCCAACGTCAAGCCCTTTGTTATCTTCCTGCCTTCTAAAAAGCCAACGATAACCGAGAGCTACAGGAAAAGCGTCGGCGTCGCCTGCTTTTTCGAATTCCAATCCATCATTTAAATTTACTTTTTTTGTTTACTAAATGTGGGCCCTCTCTCTCCCATGTGCTTATGCCAAGTAACAGCATTTTATTGTTACACTCTCTCATCATTCACCCCCAATGCCTCACTTCTACCATTTAACTACCCAAAAGCAGAGCAGATAAGCAGCCCACCACGAACAGCAAAAGCAGGGCCATTTCCCCTGTTTTTTCCTCGCCGTCCTTCTTCTCATCATCTCGGAGTTTCGTAATAGTTGAAAGAGATCGAGAGCTAAAAACGAGGAAAGAGAAGGAAAATGGAAGTGGAAGAAGCACCGAGACAGCGCAGCAACACCAGTCCTTCCTCCCCGGAGTTCGAGTTCTGGATGGTGCGCAATCCCTCCTTCCCGCCCTCCAACCTCCTCACCGCCGATGAGCTATTTCTCGACGGCGTTCTCCTCCCACTCCAACTCCTCTCCCTCCCATCCACCGAGCGCCGAGCGCAACCCCCTTCCTCCCCACCAACGGCCCCGCCGGCCGAACCGGCCCCGTCGCCATCTTCCATCCTCTTGTCCTCCTCTTCAACGTCGTCGTCCATTTCCAGGCGATGGAAAGACTTATTCAAAGCGGCGCCGGAAAAGAAATCCGGTGAAAAGGACCATGAAAAGAACTTGCGGAAGAAGGACCGCAGAAGCAGCGCCGATCTCAACATCAACCTCAACATCTGGCCCTTCACCCGGAGCCAGTCAGCCGGCGGCCGTCCTCGATCGATCGGATCTGTCTCCGGTCGAAAAGTCAGCAGCGCCCCCTGCTCTCGAAGCAACTCCCGCGGAGAGTCTGGCGGAGGCCGGAGGTGGGCTGCCAGCCCGGGCCGTGGAGGAGTGCATCTCGCACGGTCCAGCCCCGTCTGGCAGATCCGGCGGACCGGGCGGCCGGTCCAAAGAGAAGAGTAAAATGTGGACTCAGACCTCCGTCTCCTCCGCCGGCAGTGGTGTTCCCACCGGAGTTCGAGTGTTAAACCTGAATGTGAACAGTTGCATCGGATACGGAGAAAAGGTAAGCTCAAGGGGCGACGATAGCGATGGGATCGCCGCCGGCGAGCGCATCGTGGAAGGCAGCGGAGTCAATGGGAGCGTGACGAGCGTCTTTAGCCTTAGATCCCTCTTCTCGAAGAAGGTTTACTGATCAATGAGAGCAGTAACTCGCTCCACAGTAATTGTATCAATCCATGTTGATGATGACTTGATAGTTTATACTAACTTCATATAGTCTTCCTCTTCCTCTTCTCTTTTGAAATTTATGCGTGTATATTTTCGATTAGGGCCTGCTCCTGTGCTAAGTTCAAATTCTATATAAAAATATTGAAAAAAAGTTTAAGCTGAATGTGATGAGCTATTAGTGAAAAGATCATGTAAGGTTCGACTACTTTCGGCACCGTTAATTTTAGCAGCTTTTTAAAGAACCGAACTTCTAACACTTGACTCTGTCCCTGATAAATTAGGAAATTTAATTGACAAATGCACTTGCTTGAATAAATTTTCTTTGGATTGAATTTTTCAATATTTTGGTATGTGAAAATGATGGCTGTTTATAGAAATTTTTTGGAAAAAAAAAGTTTGAATTTTCCTACAAACAGCACTGTAATGAACTAATTATATAGGCCTGTATTCTGTAACATATCTATTGAGGGAGAGAGTCTTGGTCGTAGGGCTGACTGACCATGAGGTCCATGAGGACTATGATTTATTAGGAGAGATATAATTTTTTTTAGGTATTTGATTTGAAACTATATAATAAAATTATGGATTTATTTAAGAACGGTGAGCAAATATATTTTTCTAAGATTTTTTATTAAATTTATGTGGCATAAAATGTTTTAAAAGGAACAGATTATGCCTTGCTGTCTTAAATTTTGTGAAATTTTTAATAAATATCTTCATTATTATCTTTAAAGTAAAATCAATTTATTTTATTTTTATAAATTAAATAGAAATATATGTGTTAATTTTTTGGGCCCATTTGACAAGGATTAGATCAAGATATTATGACCCAGACACCTGTCCATTAGGATATAGGACCATTAATTATTTCTTACTTCTTTCGCTTCAAAGCCCGAAAGCCCGACCGACTACAATTAATTTAACTTTTCCTTTAATTTTTTCTCGCTTCCTTAATTGTTTTCTCGCTTTTTTTTCGTGGGATGAAAACGTAGAGAAGCTAAAACAAATCACTTCAAAAATGTTCATAGAAGAAGATGGTAAGCAGCTAATTTCGATGAAGGATTAATGACGAGTTTCTCGATAAATATATTTGAATCTAGCATAAAAAAAATAAAAAAATAAAAAATAAATAAAAAAATATTTGAATCTAGCATTTTCAAAATTTGAACATTATTCACCTAACTTGTTTTTTTTTTAAAACATTTATGTACTTCAATGATGTTTTACTATAGATGAAGGATTATTCTTTGTTGGGAAGG